CCACTATCAGGTGGGGCACTTAAAATGCAAGCATGAGAGGCGTTCGCCTCGGAGAGCATAGCCGTATATATCGCCCATTCTGACAAGAACACGTTAAAATACTACGTTGTTCCTGTAAGCGACTTGCGACCCGTTTCTCGACTGGTTGAACCGAAGCAAAGTAAAAAAAATTCACTGCGGAAGGGAACTGGAGGTTAAGACCTATTTTTGTCCGCTTTCCGGAGTTCAAAACTGACCTTCATAAAAGTGTGCCATTGCCACAAAACATACTGTCATTGTGTCTGACGCTCTCGCTGGACGGCTGAAATACAGCTTGACCCTAATCGTAGCTGACTTAATCGACATAAGTTGTAATCTGTCATCCGAAGCGCGTCCCCTAACAACCAACGTATGAAAGAAGCACTCTACGCTGGAATGTTTAAGAAAAAGAACACGTGCAAAGTGGGCGTCAGCGCAAAAGATGCGTTCACGAATAGTAAATTTTGACTTAAGTAGGTCAGCGTTAAACTTACCGCTCTGATACTATTCTTGCCTTGAGCAGGGCAGCCGTGTAGCAAATGGTAGCCGACTTTGGCAAGCTGAACTCTAGAGAGAGCGTTTATGCGCACGACCAACGAATCAATGTATACAAGTGACAATTTACCATCGTATCGAGCAAGAACGGCTTGGGCATCTGCGTAAGCCTGCATCGCCAACAACGCTTCGATGAGATTTTCGTGAATGTTCATTACGTTAAGCATTGGAAACTCTTTGATTAGCTACATTTGAAGAAAACACTATCTTAGAAAACGCTCGTCATACAAGTCGTGAATGTAATCAACAGCCCGAAATAATATTATTTACGATTCTTTGAATTAATGAATTGACTTGAGGTACATCACAAAAGATTTTGCAAAGCAATTAGGCAACTGCTAACTGCCCTGAAAATAAACTACGTGAAAGAACGGATTAACTCATGAAATATTCACCATTTCCTTCAAGGCATGCTGTCACCGAGCATTAGTTCAGCTGATTCAACCAAAGGCACTATATTTTTCACTGGGTGAACCGCTGTCATCAGAATGACACAAATATGCCCGCAGTGAACTAGATAGGCCGCATTCGAGTTTTCTCGTACAATAAATCACTGCAAACAACGCTTAATTTTGGTTATCCTATATCCCATTAGACAAGAACCGGACAAAAGTGAGTGACAACTAATTCCGTTAATGAAAAAATCACTAGAATATCATAAACAACTCTAGCGGTATCAAATAATTTACCTGATGCTTCACACAACCTTGACTGAAAAACTTCACAAAGGAAATTACACAGAGAAAGAAACAGAAGAAAGGCATTACAGACTGCCTTTTTCAACCCGCCTCATGTGTTCGACAGCTATTCTGCACATAACGTTTTCATACGGACCACTTGTTACTGGTCTTTAGGCAATACTACAAAAAGCTAAAATACGCTAAACTGAAGTCGGTGACTCTGAAGTGGAAGCAGACTTGTCAGCATACGACGCTATAAGCGGATATTTTGTCGACGCACAGTCGTGTATTCATTAACAAATGAGCGACTAAAGTGACAGCTATATCACGCAATGAAGTTATGAAGTCTTACATCACGCATCGCTTTGACAGCCTCTTTCAACTTTCCGAGTCTCCGCGCGCACATGGCCAGCCGGCGCCGAATGTAAATCAACACGTTGGTGTCACGTTCTAAAGAAAATGCATCACTAAGATACAGTGGTGGCAAACAACAATGAAAAGTTATGACTAAACGGCAAAAGCAAATAAATTTTGCCCGAAGAAAGAGATACTGAAGTAGACTCTTTTGGCAAACATTTTATACGCAAACTACCGTCATCACCATCTTCCAGAGACTTGCAGAACAAGTTGCAGATTCCTAATTTAGCAAATATCCTGATCTGAATCCTGTTACGCTGTTCTGAGAATGCTAAGTGGTAATCACAGGGATGAAATACATTTAAGCCGCGCACCTTGCCTATAAGTTGTTCGAAGAAATTGCGTTTTTCTCAACATGGAAAAAAGGGAAATTTTTTAAATAATTGTTGCATTTTCAAAGCCATCACGACCAT